TGAATTTGGGGGGGCTGCACCTCAGCCCAGAACTGGCAGTTGGAGGTAGGATGGCCTTCTTCATTTTGTTGCTCTCTTCACCCTTCCACAGAGGGAGAGTTGGACAGGGTTTGGAGGATGGAAGCTGGGCGTGGAGGAGGACCCTAATCTGAGCAGGGGTGTTCCACTCCTTCATCTGTGGATGCTTTCTCTATTACTCATACTCTTGATTTAGGTTTAAGTGGCATCCTGTACCTTGGGGTTTTCTTTCCTGGTCTTCTCATGTGCCCTTTGTTCCAACAGCAAGAGGGTTCATGGGCTGCCGTGTGCCGTGACCACCTGGGGTACCCAGGGCCGGAGCCCACCACCCCTCGGGGAGCAGGCAGCTGTGGTCACTTTCTGCCGGGCTTGGGACCCATGAGACTCTTGGGATGCTATCAGCCTTGAAACCCCACACCTCTTTGGCAGAGAGGCTGTTGGGCCTTCTGAACATTTCCAGGGCTGGCTCATTTCACTGGCTCACATTTAGTATCAGTAGCCATCCTTAAAACACAAGGGTGTGTGTGCATTTTTGAGACTGGGAGCAAAACTGGGACACTTGCCCTTGAGAGAGAAAAGGCATTGTGTCGGTGAGAGGCACTCCAGGACAAGTCCTGCTATAAGAAGGAGCCACAGGGATGGAGAAGCAGGTCCCTGGGGAGCATACCTGGAAGGAAGTTTTCTACAAACCTTGACCCCCTCTGGGTCATTTTCCTGTCCTAATCATAAGTATTAAGCCTCTTGGCAGGAGGCCTGTTAGATTCTCAGCAGGACAAAGGCTCCTTTATTTTTAAAGTAAAACACTCTGCTCTTAAGAAACTAACAGTCTATTTGGGTAAACACATTCTATTTACCCACATATCAATCGAAGGCAGCCAAGGTTGAGCTCCCTAAACACACTAATATTGGTAAATGTTTATCATTTGTGTCGCTTCTTTCATCTCAAGGCTCATTTTGCATAAATAAAACACATTTTTAAATCCTGTGTTTTCTCCTATCTGTTCTCCAATTTCCCCGAACGTTCTTCTTCTTTTTTTTCCCCTTCCATTTCCCTTGGATTCTGGATGCACATTCTTAAAATCGCATCTACACTGATGTTTATCCTTTTCACTTCTTTGCTGAGCTTTAGGATATATTCAAATTAAGAAATATAATTTAAAATGTAGAACTATGAATATAGTTGGTAGCAAACAGAGGCTATGGGTAGAAAGGCATATGGATCAGGCTAATTGTAAAGTGGGGGTGGGGAGAGAAAAACTCAGAGAGAGAGAGAGAAAATAAGCTTCAACTCAGCCCAAATATTAGTTTGAAGCCAAAGAAGTTGGCCTAGCCCCAATTCTATCCTTGGTTGGACACAATACATGATTGCTGTATTTTCAGAAAAAGAAAAAAAAAATCCATCCATAGGGTGAGAATCTAAGCATCTATTTTCCATCCCAGTGACAATCAGAAATCATTCTTTGCATTTATTTTTCAACTTTGTACTTGCCTGTGAACAAAATTGAAGCTGGCAAAGGATGGTTCATGTGAATTACTTGAACAACAGTTTCTCATTGTGTTGAATTACATTGAGGCTGCTTGCTGTGAAATCTTGCCACAGCCCAGTAACAGTGAAAGATATTGTCACTTTTTTTTTCCATGGCCATGAAGTTAACCCACTTCTCTCCCACATAAACGAATTGATGGTCCTTTCCAAAGTGGGGGAGAAAAGCTCTCCAAATCCTAATCACCAAGCATTTATGTACAGTTTTCAGAATCAAAAGCCAGTCTATCTTCCCACGTCACCCGATCTTCATGCTTCCCCACATTTCCAGATGACATGGCTTCTCAATGTTTGTCATACCTCTAGTCACCAACAAAGAGAGGAGTCATGCATCCCCAGCCCCAGCTAGCAATATTTTCAGCTAATTTAGGAAAGTCCAATTTAGAACCTAGCCCAGAAAAGGAGTAGAGAGGCAACAATAATCACAAGGGTCCTCTGGGCCTTTGTAATGCCTTCCTTTCCTAAATTCACCATCCACCACTAGGGGGACAGATGACGGAGAAGGGTCCACGCTGTAAGTGGTGGCTGTGGCATTTCTCCAAGGCAACATTTAAGGTTGCCCAGTTGAAGCGTGGGATGGGTTCTGAGCTCCATTTGCCTTGTTTGCCACATGACGGTCAATGGTTCATTTCAGAGGCTAGTTGGAGGGGAAACCACAGATCATGGCGGGGCTAAATCCCCTCTTGATCTCCCTCTTCCTCCTGGGCGTTCCTCCCAACTTGGGGTGGAAAATGCTGCTTTTACTCATGAGTGAAATGGGACTAATAAGAACAGCTCTCCCTGTTGGGAGATTTGAATGATACACAGCATTAACATACTTAATCGGCAGTCACGTGCTATGCAGATACGAGGGTGGTCCCTGTTCTCTGCCGCTTTCTCTGCATAGGAGAGAAGCCAAGCAGAAGCACCTGCTGCTCATAAACCCACCTCATCAACCCCAGAGCCCCGATCTATAGGTAAATAAAGGACAAGCAAGGAGGGAAGGAGATTGAATGTGTTAAATTCTTCTTTCTGATGGTTGTGAGGCTGACCAACCTGAGTTCCTTCAGGCTGACTTTGATTACTCTTTTCAGGCTTCAGGCACAGGATTATTTTCATGGCTGCTTACTGTTAATTATATGAAGAAGCTACAACCCTAATCCAGAATTCTCTGGATTAGCAGCAGAAGTGTTTGATGTCTCCAAAGACAGTTAAGTTTTTATAAAATAAATGCCCCAAGCTGAAAAAAGCCTGTGTCCTTCTTGGACTATATGCAGGGCAATGTGGCATAGAGCAAAGAGAGTTGGACTTGGATTCAAGTCCTGTCCCTTTTGATCTGTGTGACACTGGGCTAGTCACTATATATCTCTGAATCTCCATTTAGAAAGTAGAAACCCATGAGTTCCGCTGTCCCCAAGAGACAGGGAGTCATTAAGAACCTGGACTGGTTTCTGAGGCTGGCCCTGCCATTGACTGGATATGTGACATTGGTAATGTTAACCTTCCTGGGCCTCTGTTTTCTTATCTGTAAAATGGGCTAATAATAGTATCTAGTTTAGATGATGGTTGTGAGGTGTAAATGGTAAATGCAGGTAAAAGCACTTAGAACGGGGACCTGGCCAGAGGAAGCACGGGAGAAACATTAGCTCTTGTGATTACAAAGAATGTAAACAACACTTAAGGACTATAACGCACTCAGCATGCTATTTCAACAGCTTCAGGGACAAGTAAACATCTCAGCTTTGCAGGGCCAAGTCACAGAGGCAGGAAGGGAGCTAGCTCATCAAGGGTCTTCTCAGGAAGAAGAATGGAGGTACTCCCCTGAAGCCAGAGTGTTGGAGTGGGCCCAGAAGCAGGCCAGAGGCCGACTCAGTAGAAATTGTCAGCTGTGAGGGGAGGGTGCAGGGAGTGGGGGAGGAGCTGCAATAAGGTGACAGAGTCTCGGGGAATGGTGCAGCCCCTGGTGACAGGAATCCGGGAAAATGGTAAAAGACCTGTGTTGGGGGGAACCAGTTCGATAGCAGACAGACAAGAGGGGAAGCATCTGAAAGGGACACCAAGTCTAGGTGAGATCATGTCTGGAACCACAGGATGAAGCAGTTTATATTTAAATGGTATGGCAAGACAACACCCCCACATTACACCATCCATTCTCATTCAAGTTCTTTGGGAGGAAGTAAACATTATGGAAGTGTTAATTGCTATTCAGTTTCAAATTTAAGCCTGCATTTGTACAGGGGAGCCTAGGAGAATGGCACATTTTCTCCGACATTATTAAGTAAAAAGGCTTTATAAATAATTGGTTGAGCCCCCCAACGGCCCCGGCATAAGCTGCTGAGTGCTTCCTGGTACTGATCCAGTCCTTCCCAGTTTTTCTGAGCTTCCAATAGGTAGCAGATCCTACTGGTGGTGCCTTGTGGCGCAAACTCCCGGTGATGGTTATAACGAGCGGCTGCCACGGGGCGCGAGCTTTCAGGCCAAGGCCAGGGGAGCGGCCCGGGCCACAGAATGAGGGGAGGGCTGGGGACCGAGGCAGGCCTGTGGCTAATCGCTTCCCGCCGGCTTTAGCTTTGGCTGCATCATTCCTGAGGACAAGCTCCAGGCAGATGGAGGGCTGGACAAGGCCCTCTGCTGGGGTCGCTGAGACCGTGCAGCTACCTAGACCGTGTGGCTGGGGGGCGACCGATAGTCTGTGCGGTTCCCGACGGGATAATCGAACTTCCCCCTTGGGGTGTTCAGCTGCTTTCTTTCCTCGCGGTCGGGAGCCGTTTACGCACGCCCAGGGGCCCGGGGGAGCAGTAGCAGGGGCCGGCGGGCTCGGGAAGCCTCAAGCAGCTCTGACCTCTGGCACTTCCCCAAGCCCCGGGGCGCAACATCTGTCCCCAGAAATAGCCGGGCGGAGGAGACGAGAGCGCGCCCACCCCTTCCTGGATACTCGGTCTTCTCTCTCTTCCTAGAAACCGGCCCTCCCCTCCTCGCGTCTAGCGCCCGGAACCCGCAGCACTCGGTCCCCGCCCAGCGGGGGCGCCCCCGCACCCCACCTCCGCGCCCCCAGTTCCTCGCGCAGCACCGCCCAGCGCCGCCGGTGGCGGCGCCCCGCGCCCCGCAGCGCCATCCAGGGGCCGGGCACTGCCTTCCTTCCTCCGGGCGCCCCCCCCGCACCCCTCCGCGCGCGCCCCGAGCGGGTCCCTCTTGCGCCTCCCCGAGGGCGCACCGGCGGCGAGGGGCGGCCGGGCCTCGGAGCAGACGCAGGGGAGGCGAGCGCCGGCCCGGCCGGGCGAGGGGAAGCTGACGATGGCAGCGGCGGGCGTCCGCGGGCGGCGAGGCAGCGGCGGCGGCGGCGGGCGGCGCGAGGAGCCCCTGTGATTGGCACAGCCCGAGCCGGAGGAGGAGGCGCGGGGAGGGCGGAGGAGGAGGAGGAGGTGGAGGAAGGGGGCGAGCGCGCGCGGCGGCGGCGGCGGTGGCGGCGGCGGCGAGGAGCTGTGCCTTCCACCTCTCCAGCCCCGGCAGGACGGGGGCGGCCGCCGCGGGCCCGGGGCGGGGACAGCACGCAGCCTCGCAGCGCACACCCCCGCCCGGCAGCGGCCCCGACACCCGGGGCGAGCGGGAAAGCGGCGGCGGCGGCGGCGGCGGCGGCGGCGGGGGAAGGATGCAGGGGAAGAAGCCGGGCGGCTCGTCGGGCGGCGGCCGGAGCGGCGAGCTGCAGGGGGACGAGGCGCAGAGGAACAAGAAGAAGAAAAAGAAGGTGTCCTGCTTCTCTAACATCAAGATCTTCCTGGTGTCCGAGTGCGCCCTGATGCTGGCGCAGGGCACGGTGGGCGCCTACCTGGTGAGTCCCCGTGCCAACTCTGCCGCGGGAGCCCCCTCCTCAGCCCGGCGCTCCGGCGGCCGGCAGGCACGAGGAGGGGGCCGCCCGGGCCCGGGGGCAGGCGGGCATGACCTCGGCCGGGCGCGGAGGTTGGCGAGTGGTGCAGAGGCGGCCGCCGGGGGAGCTGCCGGCCCGGGCTGCCGACCGAGCGGGGAGCCGGCGGGACCGCGGATGCCGGCAGCAGCTCGCGCGGCCGGCGGGGGCCGGGGGTGCCCGGGAGGAGAGGCGGCGGGCAGGTGGGCGTGAAACCGTTCCCCTCTCCGCCGGGAAAGCGCAGCCAGAGGTGGACTTCAGGAGCTCCCTTGAAGAGGCAGGCAGCGCGGTTTTCAGGTGACCTGCACATGGGAAGAAAAGCCAGTTAGCATCCTGCGTCCTCTGCTCTCCATTCCAGCCGCCTGGAGAACAAATCCATTATGCATCATTTTCTCGGGCGCTTTCTCCATGCGCCAATTACGGGGGGATTTAACAGCTTAGAGTAAAATGCGCCCGAGTGTGGCCCTGATCCGAGCCACGGCTGCAGGGGGACTGTTCCCTCTCCCTATCCCAATAGCCATCTTTCGGTGTCTGGGATAAAGTTACTCAGTACCTGGAGAGCCGCCGCGAGTTTGTGTAGTTCTGCTACCCATGCTTAGACCTCGATTCCCCACCGTGGTCTCTCGCCCACAAGGGGGTTGCTGCATTTTGCACTATGTACATCTCTTTCATTTGCCTTCTGAAAGGGGATATTAGTGCTCAAACGGCCCAGGGGTGCATAACGTATCAGAGGAAACAGCTTGTAATGACTCAGCACTGTCAAATACCTACTTTGTCGCTTGGTCCTGCCCCGCGCAGGTGGTCCCAGCTCGAGTTAGAGAGAGTGCACTTCCAGACCCAAGTACAGCCCTGCCTACACAGGAGAAGATTTTTTTTTTCCCCCGAGTGTATAGTGTTAAATCATTACTTGGTGACTGACCTGCCACGGGAATCAAATGTCAAAGACTTTGAGTGTTAGTGAATAAGTTTGACAGAGATAGAATTGGACAAGATTTTGGCTGTTGGATAACTGTATCCACAGATAGAATCGTGCTCTTCCTGATGTACCAGTAATCCCTCCTTCCTGGCCTTGGGGTACAGTTAATGAGGGCCAGACTGCTGGGACAGGGCACCCTTCCTAAATGGGCTCCAAAGACTCGGGGGCTTGCTGTCAGAGGGAACTACGGGCAGGTTTGGTCTCTAGTGGGGGGTAAAGTCAATTTCAGGGTTATGACAGAGGGTTGTTCAAGCTCAGCTTTCTGTTCCTGGGGTGACAGACTTACCGGACTTCTGAAAATCGAATGCATTTCCTTTGCTCCTTGTGAGATGAAAGTGTTTTAAATCCCTGTCTCTGTATCCCTGACTTTTATGCTGCAGGTGAACCCTGTAGCCAAAAGCACATTTTCTTTTCTGTTTGGATTTCTGTTCTATAAAATGCACTTTTCTCTGTAGTTACAGTACAGACAGTACTTGTGGCCCGTGGAGTTTTGAGGTAGGGATCACTGTGTCTTGGTGGGGGAGGGGGGGCCCGTTTATCACACCTTTTATGGAGGGTATTTGACTGTTAAGATCTTAAAATAGGTACATGTATTACCAAGATGCAAATGTATATTAACAAAATATTTGTGGGTCTGTACTGGGAGCATATGCAAAGTATGTACTACCTAACCGGGTCTCTGTTTGAGGAGGTAGTTAGTATGTCAACAGCTACCTTCAGTTTAACAGTTTGTTAGCCTGAGACCAGTTTTGTTCGGTAGAGTGCATTAGTCACGTGCGGCGAACAGCAACAGAACTTTTCACACCATGAATTATAAAGGCACAGGCTTAGTTTTAGCTTGCAACAATCTAAGGCTCTTAGAAAGGAATGAGGCTGGGCTTCAGCCAGGTGAGTAGCCTAAGCTCCTTTAGAAAGTTAAGAAGCAGAGGCTGATGGCCCCGTGGATATAAAGAGGCAGGGCTGGCATCAGGAGATAGAACATTGACTTGAATCCCAGAATAGGCAAGTGGCAGGCAGAGAAGGAAGTCAGTCCACTTTGCGGAGGAGGGGCGGGGGGGCTGGCAATTTCAGCCTGGGCCGATAGAAAGGCTAATTCAGAGGGGTAGGGTAACAGGAGTCAACAGGTGACCAGCAGAAAGGAGAGGGAGGCCCAGGAGAGGACAGGCCTAGGAAATGGAATTCATTTTGATCACTAGGAGTAGAGGCACAAGGTTCTCAGGGCTCAGCCTTGCCCTGCCACTGTGGACTCCGTTGCCATCCGAACCTCATGAAAATAAATAGTTTGCTTGCCAGGCTTGACCGGATCCTCTTGCTATGGGTTTTGCTCTTCTGGGCCCCTGGGGAGTTTTCTGTTCCTCTGTTATTTTGGAGGTGGAATGAAAAGTTTGTTATTCCTTCAGCTGTGTGAGACTGCTTTATGGGTAACTTGGGAATGAAGCATTGTAGGATGTTTGCAGGAGAAGCAGATTTCTCCCTGCTAATTCATCGTGGCTTTCTTAAGGAACCCAAGAGCCTGCTTTTGTAGGTGATCACACACGCAGGGTCAGTGTGCAAGGTGTGTGTTATATATGATCTTTGCATTGGCAATCAGCCTGTCCCTCTGATGAAGCATTTTCAGATACCTGAGGAAGGGCACACCTTGGGACACTGCCAACAATGCTTTTGCTTTGATGGGGGCGGGGTGGTGATCGAAAGTTCTGTGCCAGTGACATTATTTCCTATTTGATCCCAATAGTCCACCTTCTTATTTTGTCTTCCCAGATGTCTTTTTTTTTTTTAAACATTTGGAGGCTTCATTTCATTTCTCCGTTTACTTTTTTTTTTTAAGATTTTTATTTATTTGAGAGAGAGAGAATGGGAGATAGAGAGCACGAGAGGGAAGAGGGTCAGAGGGAGAAGCAGACTCCCCGCTGAGCAGGGAGCCCGATGTGGGACTCGATCCTGGGACTCGAGGATCATGACCTGAGCCGAAGGCAGTCGCTTAACCGACTGAGCCACCCAGGCGCCCCTCCGTTTACTTTCTGAAAAGACAGATTGCCCCTTGTCTTCAGTGACACTGGTGTAGGCTTCCCAACTGCGGAACTGAAGGAGGAAGTTGCCTGTGATTTGAGAAGCAACTTTGAAAAGCAGGCAGCAGTGTGTGTGTGTGTGTGTGTGTGTGTGTGTGTGTGTGTGTGCGCGTGCGCGCGTGCCTTCCCTCAAGAACCTGCCTAGGGAGGAAACTCAAGGGAGACTTGTATATGAGACAAACACTAATTGTTAAGCTGGGCAGGGGACCAACAGCTTTTTGCCCGGGTGTGGGGGGTCTCCCAGGGGAATGCAGAAGGCTTTTGACCCCCGACACCCAGGCGCTGTGATCCTAGAGATAAGGTAATGTGCAACCCCAGGGCTGCTGTGGACTCTGAAATCTGTTACACTTGCAAGTGTTTGAACTGGAAATCATCCTCCAGATCAGCCAACAGTCATAGGAATGTTCTCTCCTAGTCACTGAAACGGCCTGACTGGCCACGGGATATTTTTTGGAGCAGAAGAAGAGAGACCCATCCAGTTGGGTCAAGAGTGCGATTTTCCTTGACTTGGGTCTTTGCTTCGGGTGGTTCCAGTCTGAACTGACCTACTTGCAAGGATGTGACATCTGCTAACGTCTCGGGCCCTTTGGAGAAGGCATAGGCATGTGGGAACTACTCGGAGAGAAAGTCAGTGCGTGTGCGCGTCCTGGTGATGCGTGGAGACCCACTCAGGTGTTTCCAGCCATTCGTGGAGGGTAGCCCTGCGTATAGAGGTTCGCATACATTCTCAAATTTCTGGGGACTGGAATAGATAAGGCTGCGTACAGGAAATGAAAGCCCCTGACACCCCTGGGCAGTTGTGATCGAGGCTCCCTTACAAAGGCATTTGAATTTCTTCAGGATGAAAATTTAAGGCGGTGGCTGGAGGAGTCTCCAGCCAGGGTGGGGTGCTCAGGCGGGGCCTCTGACCCAGGGGTGGGCATTTGCCTATTGAGAGTTTTGCACACACTGAGTCTGAGGTTGTGGTGACGAGATAATGAGCCGGATGAATGAGTGCATGTCACAAAGCTCCAGCTCGCTGATTGATAGTCCCTTTTTAAAAATTTTGGGCCCGAGAGCATTGCATGGCTTGAGTTACTGGTAAGGTGAAACTGCTGGATTTGTTGTTCTTTCTTCTTCTTCTTCTCCTTCTCCTCCCCCTCCCCCTCCTTCTTTTTTTTTTTTTTATCCCTAAAGAAGCTTCATTTTGAAGATGGGTATTTGCATCTCTTCCCCAGAAGCAGACAGCTGAGAGACATTTTTAAAGTCCTTGTCAAATTAGTATGATGACTAAGGCGACGTATTTTACTTAATCAAATTATTTTATACACTTATGGTTGCTCAAAGTGACAAATTCCCTGCCATTTGCATAATTACTGGATAGCCCCAGGTAGTAAGAAATAGAATTACCCTGATTTTTTTTTTCCTTGCTGTTTGGTTGCAAATGTTTAGCTAATAATTATTTAGGGGAAAAAATGATTTCTGGGAAAATTCCTTTCAACCAGCTTTGTGTACACGGCTTAGTTTCTGTAGGGGTTTTCTCTTGCGTGTTTAACAGTCCAAGAAAGTGAATCAGTTGGGAAGTGAGCGCGATCTTGATCTCTTCTCCCGAATTTTGTAACTCTCCCGCATTTCCATTTTAGATTCCTTACAAAGAGGATGACCCAGAGGCCTCTCCGCAGAGGCACTGCCTTGCTAATCAGATGTCCAGCATTTAAACTCATCTCCTTGCCTGCTGCTGGAATGGTATAGCTCTGTGTTAAACTGGATAAATTTCCACTGGTGCAAAGGCAGTTCGAGCAAGAAGGTCTCAGAATTTCTCTTGCTCATCCTAAAGCAAGCTTCGAAGTACTGCCTTGTTTCTGTGGGGGGGGGGGGCTCACTTAGCAGAGTAAGAATAAGTA